TGAACTACCTATGCATCCCTTTAACAAAAATCAGACTGCTCCCCATCCAAAAGGCCCTCACAGAGTACCTAATACCCATACAATGCCAAAGGCGAGGCTCCTTCTGACAGGAAGACAGGCTCTCAGACAGACCTCCAAACCCACCAAAGAAACTTTTTTTTCCAAACAGACTACTTTGCTGTAGTCTGTTTTTGACCTTTCTTTCTGTGATGACTTGACCTTTTCTGGTGGCCTTTTCTTGATTAGTGACTTATGATCCCTTGTTTCTTACACCTCTTTAGATTTCATGAGGTTTTGGCCTATGGTTCCCAGTAAGCTTATACATGACTTGCAAGGGCCTGGTGTGGACTGGGTGAAGCTTGCCAGGTAGAAAGTACCAAGGAGAAACCACAGGAACCCTCCAAGAAAATAAATGTGTCTTTTAAGTTACACCTTTTATATAGAAGTTATATCAAGTGGTAAATTTCATTATTAATCCTCATATATGAGTCAACTGTATTGACTTCATTATAAATAGATGATGAGTCACAATAATGTGGCTTGAAGATACGAGAACTAAACCACACACCAGAAGATGAGATGACGACATCTCGGTCTGTCCTGGACCATTATCACGAAACATCGTCGTCTCCTCATCTTCTGGTGTGTGGTTTAGTTTTCATTATCAATCATTGTATACAAATGAACTGTATTAACGTCACTGTCAATCATGTGCAAACCAACTAACAATTTCATTATCAATTGTTATAAATAAGGCAACTATATTAACTTCATTGTCAGTCATGTGCAAACCAACTGTATCAATTTCATTATCAATTGTCATAAATAAGGAAACTGTCTTAACGTCATTATCAAATCATGTAAAAAATCAAACCATGAAATACTGTCATTTCATTCATATTCAAGATTCAACTTATAATCATAGAATATTTTTGTCAAGAAACTAAGCAAAATATCACTTTGAAATCACTAACAGTTCAAGAAAATAACAAGAGTAACTACTGTAGATAAAACAGACTTTTCAAGAGAACTACTAATCATTTCATCAACATTAAAGCATCAATGCTTAAAACACCTTTTAATATTTAAATAAATAATAGCATCATCAATACCAAAAACCAGGAAGTGGACTTGTTATTTAACATCCTTTCTCATATATAAATGTAAAAAAACTAAATCTTAAAATGAAGCCCTTAGGAATTTTATTTTTCACACAATCATACCTGCTTACAGGGTGAAGAACCAATCGCCTTCCTACTTTGCTGCTATGAAAGACAATCTGATGATTAAGGCCTTAATATACTGTACAAGAAAGGATGCAGAACGAACTCATTGTTTACTTGTCACTGATGCGAAATGGTCACAATGGCTCATGTGTCGTGTGTGTGAAACATGGTGCCAACAAAGAAAATTTAAATAAAAACTAAATATTTAAAATTCATTCATATACAGGATGTGTGTTTGTATGGGTCTGTATATGTAATTACTCAAGTGTTGTCATGGGATGAGAACTACACTCGAGGTGTCTTCCAGGAACTCTGTCATGTGATTTTAAAATTACCGATTGTCATGGCATCCATTGCCTTATTCCAACTGCCTACCACACTATTTGCAAAAAGAGAACATTATTATATTTTTTTCAGCACCTTTCTTTCCTTAGCTTGAATCTACAATTAAAAAATTCCTTCGTCTCATTGTCAATTCTTGTTATTATCTTGCATGCAGTGATTATATAGCCTCTTTTCCTTATATCTTCTAGCTTTAGCATATTTTTCTCTTGTAATGTATCTTTCATTTATCAATTCTGATTGAACTTACCTACTTAATATTATCTGCTAGATTAAGGACCTGCCCGAAACGCTGCGCGTACTAGTGGCTTTACAAGAGTGTAAATACTGTACTATCAAATGTATTCTCACAAACCCAATGTACCTTCTTGTATATATATATAAATAAATAAAATAAATAAAATTTAATACCTCTAGCCTCTCTTTGTAGCTCTTGTTTTTCACTTGCAGAAGCCATTTAGTAGGATGTGCTTGCATCTTTTCCAGTTAAATGATGTCCTTTTTGAGAGAGAGAGGCACCTCAGAACTGCTACATATTCCAATTTTGGCTTCTCGAGTCAAGAACAAGTTCTTCAATATTTTACCATTCATTTTTTTAAAAGTGATTCTGAAGTTGGAAAGCTTAGAATATGCTCCTTGGACAATGACCTTTATGTGGTCTTCTGGTAACAGTCTTCTATCCAGAACCACACCTAGATCTCTTTCTAAAGAGTTCTTTAAAGCCTTTCCATATAGCATGTACATTATGTGTGGTCTATTTTCTCCTATTTCACATTCCATAACATGGCATTTATTCACATTAATTTTCATTTGCAAAGTGGTGCTCCATATACTTAGTTTGTCCAGGTCTTCTTGAAGGGCATAGCAATCATCTAAGTTTCTTATCTTGAGATAATTTCGAGGCTTTTAGTGTCCCCGCAGCCCGGTCCTCGACCAGGCCTCCACCCCCAGGAAGCAGCCCGTGACAGCTGACTAACACCCAGGTACCTATTTACTGCTAGGTAACAGGGGCATAGGGTGAAAGAAACTCTGCCCATTGTTTTTTTTTTTTTTTTTTTGAGATATATACAAGAGTTGTTACATTCTTGTACGGCCACTAGTACGCGTAGCGTTTCGGGCAGGTCCCTGGAATACGATCCCCTGCCGCGAAGATTCGTTTTTTCATCCAAGTACACATTTTACTGTTGCGTTAAACAAAGGCTACAGTTAAGGAATTGCGCCCAGTAAATCCTCCCCGGCCAGGATACGAACCCATGACAGCGCTCGCGGAACGCCAGGCGAGTGTCTTACCACTACACCACGGTTTCTCACCGGCGCCTGGGATCGAACCCACGACCACAAGATCACAAGTCCAGCGTGCTGTCTGCTCGGCTGACCGGCTCCCCTTAGCTTGAATCTTACCTTTATCTTATCTTCCCTATTATCTTACCCCCAACAAACATGTTCATATAATTCTGTATTCTTTTTGGTAGATCATTTATGTAGACAATGAACATCATCAGTACAAGAACTGAACCCTGCAGTACTCGACATTTCTCCAGTTTGATGCATTGCCTCTGATTATCGCTCTCATTTTTCTGTCTGAAAATTTTTCATCCATGTTAGAAGCTTCCCTGTTATTTCTCCAGTATGTTTGTTTCCAGAACAAGCTCTTATGTGCGACTGTTGAAAGCATTTTACAGGTCCAAATAAACACAGTCAACCCAAGCATCTCTTTCCTATAAAATCTCTGTGGCTCTTAGCATATAAATTAAGTACATTTGTTACACAGGAGCTTCCTGATCAAAAACCATACTGTCTGTCTGATATGTCATTTCTCTCCAGGGGTTCAACCCATTTGGTTTTAACTATTTTTCTAGCGTTTTGACTACCTTCTTTCATTATATCTTGTGCCGAGAATCCTTCGAATTATTCATTTGTTGGTGTACTGTCCTCCCCTGTGGTGGTGGGCCATCTTTGTTGTTGACAAGCTGTGTGTGTATATATATATACTGTATGTATGTGTATTTTATTTATATTATATATATATATATATATATATATATATATATATATATATATATATATATATATATATATATATATATATATATATATATGTCGTACCTAGTAGCCAGAACTCACTTCTCAGCCTACTATTCAAGGCCCGATTTGCCTAATAAGCCAAGTTTTCCTGAATTAATATATTTACTATAATTTTTTTCTTATGAAATGATAAAGCAACACTTTTCTCTATGTATGAGGTCAATTTTTTTTTATTGGAGTTAAAATTAACGTAGATATATGACCGAACCTAACCAACCCTACCTAACCTAACCTAACCTATATTTATAGGTAAGGTTAGGTTAGGTAGCCAAAAAAAGCTAGGTTAGGTTAGGTTAGGTAGGTTAGGTTGACGAAAAAACATTAATTCATGAAAACTTGGCTTATTAGGCAAATCGGGCCTTGAATAGTAGGCTGAGAAGTGCGTTCTGGCTATTAGGTACGACATATATATATATATATATATATATATATATATATATATATATATATATATATATATATATATATATATATATATATATATATATATATATATATATATATATATATATATATTATACACATACACATATCTGTATACATGTGTATAATATGTATATATATATATTATACACATATAATGTCTGCATATCTACTATATCACAAGACATCAGGCAAGTGGACTAATCCATGCACTGCTAAAAAAACAAAAAAAAAACTAGGTGTAATATTTGCAAACAGACCATTTTCTTTTGCTATAACTTGTATGGGTGGATTAATAATAAAAGAAACAAATGGAATAAGCCATGACACGATGACTATATACAGGTGTGCATGGCCGAAATGACAAAAATATTTTAATCCGTACAACAAGTGACACAAAGCTTTGTTAGAGGGTGGTGGATAGGTTGCATTGCACATTACAAGCAGCACAGCCTCAACTTAATAAAACAAACTAACTTTATGGTAACTAAGAAGCAAATGCCATCTCATTTATCATTGCTTATTTTGAAATTTGTTTTCCTCCAGAAATTATAAATTTAAGCATGTAAGTACTGTAGGAAAGAAATTACTCCATTTAGTTCTTAAGTGATATATTTCTAAATGAGATGACATAGTCTGATGGGTAAGCAAAATAGCCGAGGGAAACGTCTCCTTTGAATCTAGTAGTTAATTTAGATGAAAACATTATCTTACATGTTCAAATTCATTGTTTCAAACATTTGTACCAATATATCAAGTTGCAAAATAATTCCCATAGCTATTGTTTTGGTCATGCTAAATTCTCCAGCAAAATACTAGACAATTTGGCATTGTATCTCATGAAATGAATTAAGCTTGTTACAGCTTTTGCCAAACAAATTGCTGATCCACCAGACTATAGCAACATAAAGCAGACACACTTACTCGGGAGTGCTTGATTTTGTTCAGTGTCTTGGTTACCTGGACCCCTGGTTTGGCTTGCAGATGTTTCGATGTCTGTTTGATCAATGCACTGAGAAGTTCAGGTTGTAGTTCAGGATAAGTGAGGCACTGCTGAAGCGCATTTTGACATAGTACCACATGATAGTCTATACCTGATGAGTCCATCAGAACCGAGGTGTACAGCTGACATGCCTGTTTCGATGAGGGTTATGCATGGACATTTATTCTACACATATTAGCAATATACTTAATTTGCACATTCAAATTTCAATAACTGATTCCAGGTATTTTCCATTTAAATTCTTTTGAGAAAATATGCAAAATTTCAATTAGCAGCCCATAAAATCAATAATATTATATGTTGAACTGACAGAACATTAGAAACTTGACTATATTAAAACCAATAAATTTTTCCGCTGAAGAACAAACCTTAAAGAGTTTAATGGCCTCAGCCTGAAGCTGGGAGGATGGGAGAGAGGTTAAGGGAGAAGAGATGGGATCCTTACTATGTAATAGTAGTGGATGCCGCCATAACACACAGTCTGTCGAGAAAAAGGCATCATTAACATATATGAAAAATCAAGCTGAAACACAAGTTTTATTAAGCCATACATTATTTTCCAGGAAGACGAGCAGTGCAATGAGGTGTGGATGGAGAGTGAGCAGTGCTCTGGATGCAGTAAAGGAAGGCATGAATGAATGTGTTGTATATAATAACTCAAAAGGAGCACTGTACACCTAATCTTAGGGTGTGGTGCAGTGCTGCTGTAGTGACTGCAGAAGCATACTGGTGAATGTTTTAGGTGATATACATGTTAGTATGTTAGTTGTTGTATATACTGTATGTGTATGTATGGTAGATATAAAGTCACTGCACATCCTTTCAAGTGTACTCTATAAATATATAAAACTCTGAACTGTAATGCCAATCCTGACTTTAAACTCCTCCTAGAAGGTTGTGACAGAACCCATCTGAACCACACTAGAAACAAATATTTATTTGATATTCCAAGAGGACAACTTAACCATACCAGAAATGCTCTGCAAATCAAGAGACCCAAAATGTGGAATGACCTTCCCAATGATAAACAATGCCCCTCTCCCAACCAGTTGAAGAGAAAAACTAAGTACTACCTAATCAACTCCATGTGAACTACCTTTCCTCCTAAATTTAGATTTTAAGATTTAGATTTTTTATTCAGGTAAAGGCACATACATTGAGATAAATACATCATGTTGGATTTAAAGATAGAGATAGTACATACAATACCTAAAGCCACTAGTACGCATAGCGTTTCGGGCAACATTGCCCGAACCAACCAAGACATAGGTAAATGTCAACCTATGTCTTGCTATTTTCAAAGAACACACATTACTGACCAACTTGTATAACTGCTGATATCTGCCGTGTATAAACTTGTACAAAATCTATATAAAAAGAGAAGGAAACTTATCTGTCTGTTTCTTTAGTTAAAATAACTTCTGGTGTTCTGTTGCAATTTATGCTGTTCCATCCAACATGTAATTATTGTCATTCTTTTTTCTCCCCCTTTTTTCATTTCAATTGATTCTGATCTTAATTATTTTCAAGTCTTTGTTTTAAGTGTTTTCCCCACATTTTGCCCGAAATGCTGTTTGTATTAGTCGCTTTAGGCTAGTACATAGCAATGTACTAGCTCTATCTAGAAATCCAACATTCTGTTTGTAACTCATTTTGTATGTGTGTACTGTTATCTGAACGAACATTATTATTATTATTATTAGCAAATCTGCAATATCTAATGTGACAAATTCCAATACACATTTCAAAATTAGATATATATTTAAGAGTAACTTACTTGGGTCACCATCAAGTTCCATGAGTTTCTGCACAAGCTGTTCATACTGAGTCCCTGCATTTGGACCACCTCCCGAGACAACAGTTAGGTGATATAGCCAATTATCCTAAAACAGATAAACAAAATATATATTTCACAGACTACAAAAAAATCTGCGCTACTGTAGAGTAAAACTGCGCGTCGCCAGACAGTTGCGGGACTCTAGATATCGGCTCTGAAATGAATATATATATATATATTACCTGCATCAGAGCATAGAACTAAACTACAACAATGCCAGGAACTCATCAGATATACTGCAAAATCATATTGAAACATGAAGAGTATCTGCCATAAACCTGTCAAAATAAATATAATATTAATTATTCCATAATCAGTGCATGAGTCTTATGAAAATCAGTCATGTTTTGCTTTTCAAATTTAAGGAATTATATTTAGTGAATTCATTCAGGTTACCAGAATTCAGATTCCTAGAATTCCGAGCTCTTACATTACAGTATCTCTGAATTAACTAAAAATGGCTCCAATGAATACCAAGTATGTCATTCTATTTATCATAATGACAACAAATCTTAATGGTCACAAAACTTGAACACATAGTTTTTAGTCTCCAGATCCATTAGAAGAAGTTTAAAAATAATAGGGGGATGAATTTCTAACAAAAATTAAGAAAAAATCAAATTACTGTATCATCAATATCATTGAAATAAAATATGGTAGAATAAAGTATTGGTCAAATACATTCACTCTCACTAGATATAGCTGCACTGCTTGTGAGTTGTGGCATTGTGTGGGGTAATGCTACTTGAATACTGTAGTAACTGAAACAAAGGCACACAATCGGCTAACTTTTCAGCTGAAAGACAGACATCTCGACAGATCTATTCTTCTCATGAGTAAAGCTCCTTATAGTTACCAAAAGATTCTCCTTGTGTCTTAAATTAATTATTTGTAAAAATTGTCTTTACTCTTTTTATTCTTGTTCAAGGTGAAGCAAATTTGATATGAGCTGTACATGGCACTCAATAGATTTAGCTTTAAAGCTTTGGCCTTGGCTTTCAGCTTGGGCTGGCCTGGCTTGGCCTGGCATAGTACCGTACCATAGTGAAGGATTTTGTTTTCAAACTTTGCATACTGTATTTAAATTCAGAAAATAAGGACAATTCAAATCAGTAGTAAAAGCCATGCCAGGCTCCCAATGAAAAGAAGAGGCTGCCTGCAAGCCAGGATGAAATCTGGAACCTTATACCACAATCAATAAGTGGCCAACCAGAATACAAAACAATCCAGGTTCATCAAAGAGGTGATATCCTGCTCCTGAAGGAGGAACTTAAAAAAAAGAGCTGGCCATATTGCCAAAGTTAAAATGTGAAACTTTGGAAACCTCTGTACAAAAAACACCTTTGGGGACTACTCAAGCCCAGAAGTGCACGTGGAGGAAGACACAGAGGGGTTCATTTTAAACAATGAAGGGGGAGGTACAAAAAACTTTCCAAGTCAATAGAATAACTTTCCTCCAAGGAAACCAATGAGAAGTCCAGAAGAAAAGGCACCTAGTTAGCAAAATCAGGGGTCCCCTCAGCCCTGGACACTCCAGGAGACGGGGACCAGAGTAGGATCGAGATCCATGACAGACGTAGAAGAAAGAAAAACATCTTCCCACAGGAAAAGATCCACAGCAGGAAAACCCTCCTAAGAAACAAAGGAACAGTCTCTCGGTGGGGAAACAATGGAGAGGGCTTCCCCAGAGAAGGTCCAAACACACCCGAAGAAACAACAGCCCCAGACTTCAAAATCCTCAGTTGTTTCAGAACTGGGAGCAAAGGGAGAGACCCCAGACTCACGAAGTACCACCAGCCAAACCCAGGGTCAGAGCTGAAGGAAAAAACTTGAAGCAAGTATAAAATACCAACTGCTTCAGTACTGAGTTTTGAAAAGATAAAGGGGCTGACCCTGGGGCAACCACATCGACAGTAAGTTGCAACCTACAAATACAGACAAACCTAGCCCATAAAGCAGCAGACACCTGATAAGAAGAGTACTTCGAGGAAAGCTTGGCCAAAACAGAGATCCAACAGTCACAGGCACTTAGGGTGGAACGTATTTCCCTCATAACAGGTGGCATAAGAGGCAAAAGTTATATATGTACATCAAAACCAAAGCATGACCTTCAAACTAACAACCTATGAGGGCAGAATTGAAGGGCTGGCTGTCCATAATAAACCTTCTAGGTGGGTAGACCATGGAACCCCAGGCACAGCAACCACTTCCCAAATAATTACCAAAAACAGTATAGGGGAAAACTCGATTGTTAAAGAGTGTCAACTGCGTATAATGAACAAATGAACCCGTGTGACCCTGAATGATAATCAGACTGCCCCAAACTCAAAGCCTCAGAGAGGAGTCAAGAACCCTTGTACTGCCCATGAGGTACCTTCCTAACAGGAAGCTGACCTCTCAGAGATAGTCCACCTAACCCCAGAGAACAACTCTGGCCATGCAAGGGCAACATCAGTGAACACCTAGAGAAGTGAGCTCTAGGAACATTTCATTCAAGACAAATAGTTAATCAGTCCACACAAAAAGTGGGACTTAAATACACACGCATCATGAAGCAAATATTAAAACACGAAACACACACACACAAGCAAATAGCCCTTGCAAGGCAAATACTGTCTGGGATGGACACCACTTGGGGACCCTAATAATTGGGACCCTATTGGTTCCAGTTTTTTCAGGTGGTAGTGGGAAGAGGAATGTAACAGTGAATGAACATATGCCATGTTCATTCAACATGAACAAGATAAATTTTACAATGTCATGTAAATGCAAATAAATCTTCAACCTAAAAGTTAATGAAGTCAGTGTGTTCAGTGGTGATTTTATTAGGACACACTACTGTTGTTTTTCCTAGATACATGAATGGATCCTTTGCAAAAAAAACTGTCACAATGGGAATAAAAGACTTTGGAGCCTGGCAGGTGATACGCATCCTATGTGAACCAAACAAGAGCTGGGTATGGCATCATTTAATGGCCTTTATTTCAGATAAGAAGGGTAAAAACATGTGGTGGAATGATGCCCTTAATGAAGGTCCCATCAAAAATAAAAATAAAAACAGTCTTTCAAGTTACATTAACAACATTTATAGTATATTGCAACCATTTTTCTTTTAAAAATACATGTATTGTAGTAGTATTCTCACCTTGTCCTGCTTGTTTGGCATGATGAGGTAGGTCGGACCCTGGTGTGACGGAAAGATGCCGATTGTTAGGTCTTCCCGGAGTGTGTCATCCTCTGCTGTCTCCTCCCCTTCTGAATCTGACACCTTCTCTACTTCTTCGACCCGAGCATCCCGCATGTTAATTTGGCTAATGGGATTCTGTTAATGAAACGTGTTTGAGAATTATAAAATAACCCATACTAACAAAATTATAGGGTTAGAAAGTCAAGGCAAAACCTTTATTGAATAATTTATTAATACAGTACTGTATCAGGATTAAATGACCAAATTACACTTATGTGAGATAAGATTAAATGGCTGATTGATAATGGTGCAACACAAAGATAAAAAGAGGTAAAATAATTAAAGATGATAAATTAAAAGAGTCATTGAATACAAAAGGAGAACACTGAATGACCTTGAATCAAGAGACTTTTAGAGAGATTAATCTTCACGTTTTTTGGAAGGTATACAAAGACTATTTGATTAAGAATGTCAAGTTAGTATCTGGTGAAGCACATACAGGTACAGGAGTAAAAGTATTTAATGCAGTGAGCAGTTAAGAAAATTAAGTGGGTTATTTGGTAGCAAAGGAAAGGGCAATGGAGATAAGTAAAAGGGAGAATGATGAGGAATAAATAAGAATGACTAGAGTGATTGTAATACTGTAACTTGTACTGTAGAGGATTTTACTACACACAGAGAAGGTCTGACTGATAGAAAGTGCTCAGTGATGCCCCTTTAAGTGGTGCCTCCTTCAATTGGCACCCCCTTCAAGTGGTGCCCTCTTCAAGTAGCACCCAGGGCAAGTGCCATACCCTAGGTACACCTCTGAGTGGTCCACTGGTGCAAGGTGCCACAGTGTGAAATACAGTACTGTATTATAAAAATATAGTTCCCATCGGCTTTGAAAAAAGAGGCGGGGCTTGAGAAAACCTTCAAAGTTATGCGAGGATCGTCTGTTTTACGCTACTATGGGCATAGTATGATTAGATTTATTTTGTTCCCCCCCTCCTCCAAGATCAGTACATAGTTTTCATATTACTCTATAAAAAAAAATTAATTCAAAATTTTTGTTTTCAAATATTTTTAAAAAATGAAGCTGGTGGGCAATGACAAAATCAGTGGTTGGGGGCCAGAATGTGACCATGGCACGCTGTTCTCCCTCAAGTTCTGGTGACCCCGACAAGCCTATGTCCGTCCCATACCTTAAGACCAGACCTCCTAAAGAGTTGGATGAGGCTAGCCCCAAGTACCTGGCCTCCAACCTTGGGCATAGACAAGCAAACAGACACATATAGCTAATTATGTAATTCTTGCTTACACACACATCCTTATCTAATTATTCCTGTTAAAAACATTTACTACAAATGATTTGTTTACCACACACTGGTAAAAACCTACCTGGTCATTAGGACTCTTGAAGTAGATGAACATTTTTCCGATAAGTACACACCAGCATCGTCGTGCGTGTCCATGTTTAACTTTAGTAAGCCAGCCTTGCAAAGTGGGTTTGTTGTCTTCTTTGCTCAGCAGCAGCTTAGTAGCATTACGTCGTAACACATTCTAATTGGAGTATAAAAGTCAATTCATTGAAGAAGTTAAAATAAACTAGAGCATAGTACTACAGTAGGCATATGTTACTCAAATGGAATGACTGGCTTTAGATATTTCCAATCCATCTACTTTCCATTACATCTGTTGCAAGTTTTATTATTACTTTTTTTGCTACAAACAAGGGCAAACACCACACCACTTACCTGAGTAAACAGGACACCAGAGTTCATATGGGAATGATCCAGTAACCACACCAGTACTAGAAATGAGTTTGGGGACCCTGACTGCCAGTGGGCTACCACCACCCCCTCCCCCAAATGAGTTGGGAAGGTGGGGCGAATAAGCTTGCTCTAGGTCCAAGAGATTTTTATTCCTTGCTTATATAACAAGGGAATTCGTTAGATGGGCTTTAAGGCTACCATCTCTTGAATCCAGCAATACAGTCGTGTGTTTTGACTCGCTGACTTTCTGGATGCTTTCTCCGGTGTGGTCGCAAAAATGTCACCACTCCCTGTGCATCTGCAAGGGGAGAGGTATGGGGGGGAAGGGATGGATTTTGACTCCTGTCCCCAGCAGACCTCTAGAACCCAATGGTTGATGTGATCCAGTAGATGGTAACCGTCTCATCATATAGCTTCAGGAAGCCACAAGGAAGCGTCCCCCTCAGAAAAGACAGAGTAAAATCTTACCTGGTACTCAAATCTTCACACAAACTTTTCATCACTTGGCACTCAAAGAGTAACATAATTTAGAACTCACTATGTTACAACAATATAAACTAACCTGTAGAACTCTAACCCAGTCTTCAACTAAAGCTGTATTGTCGGCAGTGAGGTAGTAGGTTTTTTTTCCGGTATTGACCTCAAAGGTGTGAGCCCCTTCAGATCGCGTAACACGACAAACTTCATTTAATGTAATCTGGCCTGCTGGTTTGCGGTGTATATCACTCTATCAAAGAAAATTAATGGACAGAACAGTTGGTGAAAACATTTATATTCTGATCTATCATATCTTTATTTCAACAATACAGTATGTACCATTCTTAGTAATTGAATTTGGCTGGTCCCTAAAGAAAGGTGCATCATTGGTTAATGTTATGTTCTTCAGATTGGACAACATGCCACCAGTGCCACAGGGAACCTTTAAAATGGTCTCTGCAGAGTTATTTTAAGTGCTATGGAGTCACTGGAGAATACCTAGTGCAGAACAGAACAACCAACAGACCAATTCATAAAAAATCAAAGCTTTTATGAACCCTCTCTTGGCATCGTGGGTGACCACCTATTGATTGGGCTACAAAACCCATCACCAGGCAGCAGCACTATTCCCAACTCTGAGTTTCCCAAAACAATTCGCATACTTCCTGACTGTTGTCCTAAACAGAATATTCAAGTCACTTGGGTAATCAGGTAAAGACGAGCACTGATTCAGCGACCACATGAACAGCTTTGCCCTTAACTAGGGAAACCTGGATGTGTCTGACTGACTTACTGTTGCATATGGCATTCCATATACAATGCTCCAATATTAGTGCAGGACATAGTTCACAGAGTGATTGGCAAGGGAGGGCTCCACCATGGAGAGGATGATCCTCATCTTGTCAGGGGTTAATACTATTACTCCATCTGACAACTTGGATGAGGACCTTTGACTATCAAGTGAATTCTGTCAAGCTCTTCATGGCCTATTTGTTCAGTATTCAAGGACTTGATATGGTTCCATGTGGGTCACTCTTATATTACTTTCAGGATATCCATATTTAAGTCAAATCTGACTCCTAGGATCTTTAATAGACTCATCTGCATAATCCTTTGCAAACTTAAGCTCCCAGATAACCATTTCTTGGCTAACATCAGTAACAGACTCATTTGGATTCCCGGCCCACAATATTGTCGTTGGCCAAGGATCGGCTATTGGCTGGGTGAATTTGAGTTCTTGGCCAACCATCTTAAGTTTCTTCTTTAGCCTTTGCAAAATTCGACGTGGTTGGGACTCCAGGGCAACTTCCATCTTTCATCTGAAAACTACTACATTTTCTGGCATCCCAGCTCCAATTAGGCATCGAGAAGCATTTTGTTATTGGGGGCCTACTCAAAAAGTTTAAAAGCAGGCTTAACTATTCCAATGTAGTGTAGCCCTTAGGTCACATCTGTGTGAAGGCCTTTAAGAGCTTTTTACAAAAAATTGCTGAAGCCCAACTGAGTTACTAATGCATGCAATCTTCTCTGGTCATGCAGCACATCACTCAGTTTTTCTTGAAAGCTTTTCTGGGTTTGGTTCCCTGGTGCCATGTCAGACGGGAACAGATCTTCATTTATATGCACTCGTATATCAATATTCAGAAGATGGTTGCAGTTTAAACTGCACTTATATGCATCTGTCTGCCCAGACGCTTGGATCTGTCTTCACTCGGACAATATGATGAGTGTGTATTGCCTCAACAGGGCCAGTTCCTCCCAATTTCTTGCAATATGAAGATATTAGCCAAAGCTTCTTTACTGGGATCTCAAGGTGGTCCACAATCATAGTGTATTGAATGTATTGTCACATGGCCTCTTCTAGTTTTGCTTGATTTGGACAGAATGGAAGTTTTCCATTCTACCCATTCCCATTTCCATTCCAGAATGGAAATTGTCCAATGATTTCTTTCATTGGATAGGCACCACATTAGGCAATGACATGTGGATCTTTTCACATTTACTTAGTAATTCACAATCACTTAGGTAATTACATTTGCATAGAACCATTAGTTTCTAGTGCACGAAGCACCATTCTTTGAGTAGGATGCAATTTGTCTGAACTGGAACTAACAGGAAAAAATTATCTCTATCTCTTTCCTCTAGTTTCAATGTTGCTACTAATCCTCAAGAAGTTAGAGATCTTTATGGATCATGAGATCCTAACTCAATCTCCTGTGACCATTTCTGCCCTGGTTTCAAGCCTAGGTTTCCAACTCACTCACTCTCTCCATGCAGAGGATCAACACTCAGTGTGTCTAACACTGAGTCGTAGGAGGAGTTTCTAGAACAGATTTAGCATTGCCTATAAAGCATTATAGGCAATGAAAAGAGACCCATTATTTTCGAGCACCACAGGAGTCTGCCTTGTCTTTGTATGCTCTGTTGGGTTTGTGTTTCCTATGTACAGATAGATTCCATGCACCCTTTAGTAGTCACTTGTGATAGTCAAGGAGGGCTTGGAAGAGCTTAGAGCTTTTAACAATTAACCTTCTGAATGTCAGCCAAGTCTGGCCTGAATGTTCTCCAGTGTCTCCCTAGCACCAGAATAATCCTACAAGGACATTTGAAAGGTTACCTGCAGCTCCAGTTCAGAATGTTGACCTACCATGACTGTCATTATCGTGTCTAGTAGACTTGAAAGTGATCTTAGCTTAGGAAACAATTCAGTAGTGTAACTTATGAAATGTGATAACTTTGAGGTATAGTACTGAGAAAAACCAGTAATGTATAGAAAATGGTAAAATTCTAATGATGAAGTGAAGTCTAATGATCAATTAGAAACCAATGGAAATAATTAAATTAAATCATTGTGAATGTGATCTTCAAACTTTGTGCGTTAAATTTCAACAAACCTGACTCTTCCAGTATGTCAGCGTTCCATCCTTAAGAACAAAGTACCGTTTTTTCCACGTCTTAAGCTTCCCACCAAGTTTTGTTAAGTAGCCCATTTTTTCCAACGAGCTCTCTCGACGCGGTGATATTGTGCCAATACTGAGGAAGAAAAGAGAGAAGGGCATAACTCAACAGAAAATTGTCTTATATAAAAATTTATCTTATATCAAACAAGATATGATCTCTCTTGTTTGACTTTTGCTTTAGTCCCATTTCTAGAATTCAAGCATTTTAACTAATTTTAGTAATCTTTTCAAACTGCCTCAAGATTCTTTAACAATTGAAAGCAGATGGAACATCTGGGAAGAATCTACAGGATGCCAACACATTTTTCCAAACCACAAATGGTATCAATACTGTCCAAGACCACCAACTACGAGGCATGGCCAGAGACCAGGTCACAGAGATATTGATCCTCAGAACCATCACAAGGTAACCTACTGTATAGGGAAAGACATTTGATATAAAAAATATCAATATTATTATACAACATTATACAAAGTAATATCATAATAAAGAACTGAATGAACATTCACCATTAGGAATACTGCACGAGAGAAATATTTCAGACAGCCTACCATGACCAAGAGCAGGGAAGTCTCCAACTCGACTGGATTGCCTCCAAATAGTGGGGCATAACCCTAAAGAAACAACAACAAACTAATAGGGCCACAGGCAGTAGCTGCAGCCAAAATTAGCCTCAGGAAAGAGGATAGGGAAGAGAGAGAGATGAAAAAAAAAGAACAAAAGATAGACCAAAATGTTAAGAACCAGGCTATATCTAAAGACTGGGTCAACACAGTTTGCCAACATGCAAAGCGAGAAGTAAAATGCCACCACTGCCTCCCGAAGGATAGGGGCAAGCAGCTTGGGAAGGGCCACCAAAGCCATTACTACAGGCAACATAGCCTCCACACCTGTAACTGAAGCAAGCAAATCCACGCCATCACAGAACTTGTCTGTAAAGAGCTCCATGACAAAAGTGAAAATACATGTCAGTCACCAAGTAGGAACGAGCCCTGTGGTCAACAGCAATAGAGGTTCCATGAAACATTTGACTAACAAGGTATCCACTGTAAAAGAACCGGTGGCCTGTAGGTAACAGCAAAGAGTCATCACCAGACACAGCAAATGAGGCATCCCAGGCTGAACCACCCAAACATCAATCACCAAAGGACCCCACCAACCCATTCTTGGCCATAAAAGAAGGAGAAAGCTGCAAATGGACAAACTGCCCACCAGGGCAAAAGGAACTGAAGTCCAGCCTCCAGAGAAGAGCTTGAAGCTCCCCAACCCCAGATATGAGAGCCAACAAGGAGACAGCCTTCAGGAAGATATCACAAACCTTAAGGGAAAATAAGAACATTTGTCCTATTCTATCCAGAAAATTACTTAACATAGAAATCATAGCTAAATGGAAAGTGGCTGACGATATGGTCAATAGTCACAGACATCATGATTATATAATCATTACTAAAATACTTGAAATGTTTTTGAGGTTATTCTGATCAGAATATAAGCATACTGTAATTTAAAATATTTAGAAAGCCTTTAATTTGTGGTAATTTGTTTAACAAATTTTTACCACCACAATTTCAATTTTAATAATGAAATTAAAAACCAAGACGGTGATTCCCACATCCACGAGTTGGCACAAAGTTTATGGTGCAGAAGATGGCAATTTGTTGCAAGACAGCCAAACTCCATACCCTGGTCTTGTGACTCTTTAATTATCTTGTTGCATTTAAAAAAAAAAATTGGATTTAATTTTTGCATCACATTATTACCCAAATGTTCTGCAACTCATTATATGTTCTATTTGTGGCTGAAAAATCAAGCAAGTATTAACAGTTGCTTTCATATCATGTTTTTTGCAGTGTGAAGAAAATTAAATATTTTGTAAAATTATACTAGAAGTTATAAAACAAAATACTGATATAAAGCATTCTTGAATGGGTTTTCAACTGCAAGATACTTACTGGCTTGAAGTGAGAGTATTGGTGGTAGTTTCAACACATGATGTCCTGGCACTGAGTGTGGGTGCCATTGTTGACTCTAGAGACCCACTGTCACTTCTGGCATCTGGTGGGATTGCATAATCATCGGACACACCAGACTCAAAGGATGTATCTAGAAGGGAACAAGCCATTATTTTCCAATGCAATTTAAACTGCGGCAAGGCTAGATTCTTAAGAGAGAAGTGAAACAAAGATGCAGCTGAATTTATGCCCCATGTATACTTGGCACAAATTTAGCTGTGGCTAAAGACGAAACAACTTACCTTTGTATGCTGCAAAAAATATAAAATATTTTTAAAGATGGAAGACTTCCATGCATAAGTCTCAGGAAAAAATACCTTTCCATCTTCTCCCTGATGGTTACATGCGGGGCAGAAAGATGGTGGTCAGAGCCCTTGCCACTACCTAGACATCAACACCCCTATTACCCTTGCTCGTTTTCTAATCTGTTACACTTTATTGGAATTCACTATATAAACCCTTCTGATATGTATCCCGAATGTACATCCAAATTACTGGGTATTTTGGTCGGTATCAATGGTGGCTATAATCAAGGACAGCAACGTCAATTAGTAATACTGGTGATGGTGATGGATGGGGATCCGTGTCTCCCAGCTGATAAATTATAAACAACATGGACAAAGAAACATCATATGGCATGCTAGTTACCAAACAATGCACATCATTGAACATATTTTCTATGCAAACTGTGTATTTATGAGCCTTTTATTTTCCATGGCTATATATACATACTGGAAAGTGTGGCCTTTAACCGAGTCTATTTCTATGCTGTGTTTTGGGCTAGAGTGGCATGGTCCCTCTGCTGCCCCCGTTTGCTTCTGACATTCCTCTATTGGGTTGCAGTTTTGATATTTCACTTGGGTATATGCCCCCCACCTCTTATAAAGGGCACATACCCAACTTATACAATTACAAATTCATGTTTTTATCCTATCCCTTTTTTATACAAATCCATATGCCTTTTTACACATGAATCTCTGGACATGGAATGGTTATGGGGTATCAAGGCATTGGATACAAGTCTTGCAGTGGGATTCTTTCATCACATTGTATTAACCTCACAATGCTAGCCAGTCATTAATTTAAATCTCCAGTAATTATCCCTGTAATGACACCTGATGACTAGGTCTAACAGTAAAAAATCAGCACTGAATGTAATGAAACTTTCTGGGAGAAACCCAGAGGTTCCATGAAGCTAACCAAAATGACATGTGCTATATTAGTTTGGGGTCATCAGTCATAGGAGTCCTTATGCCTACTGGGAACCACAAGCTCTCTCAAGCTCTCTCTCCACCTGGCTCTCTCAGAGTTGCAGGGAGCAATGGACTACAAGCACTTTACATTTAACGTATGTTGTAATTGCCATCGACTGGGTCTCAAGGGGAAAGAACAGACTGATGGCTGTGATAGTCTCCCCATTTCAACACAAGGGCGGAGAGAACCCAGGACGTTCATGAGATACCCTACGGCCAGACCCTTTTGACCTCCAAAACCCCTGCACCCGAATGTTGACCCAGGACACTACAAAAAGACAGCAGCAAGAGCAGCATACTATCTCACATCATGGGCACGAGGGCAGAGTGCAGGCTAGGTAGACTTAAGTACATCGCGGACAACCTGAAACACACGAGCTCTGGAACAGGGAACCAGGGAAACCGGATTCACCCGGAGCGTGTCCACTGTCACCGAACCAGTGGCCCATAGACAGCAACGTAAAGCTGTCACCGGAACCAACACATGATGCATCCCAGGCCTAACCAACTAAGCCTCCACAACCAATGGACCCCTCTATAAGCCAGCCGTCACATTCTTCACCAGAAAGGAAGGGGAAGGCTGCAAACGAACAAAACGACCTCCAGGACCAAACAAACAGAATCCCTGGCACTGTTGAATTGCCTGAAGCACCCCAACCCAACCCTGAGGCCAAAGCAAGATAAACAAGCCTTTAACAAAGCAATCCTGAACAAAAGAGGTCTTGACAAATTGAGGAGAAAAAAAACAGGAAAGAACCTGTTCCAAAGACCAAGACAACTCAGGCAGTGTATGAGCAGGCCGGAGGTGAAAAAATGCATGAGAGCGCTTGTGGCATGAAGCAGAAGTGACATCCACCACAAAGGCAAACTGCAGCGGTTTTGCCAATGCCGAACAATAAGAAGCAACAGTATTCGGCAGAAGATACCGGTCCAGGAAAAGCCAAGGGAGAGAAAGGACAAGACAATTATAACCTCCACAGATGAAACCCTACGAAGGGAAAGGAAATGGCGGAAAGACCGCCAAGATGAAGACTGCAGGTAAGACACCATCAAAGAAGCCACCTGATCACCATACAAGATGGCGATACATCTGCATCAGAAAAATCAGACACGAAGAGTGGAAGAGTAAGTTGAACTAGCAAGGTACCTCACCAGCCCGACCTGCTGAAAGAGGCGGAGCCACGTAAAACCCCAGGTTCGACACCGAGCAAGCAGCACCCGATACCCAGGCTGAGCTGGCCACCATAGGGCCAGGAGAGTCATTCTTCCCTGATAGGATTCGAGCTGAACCAGAACAATGGGAAATGTCTAAATCACGCAAATGCAAAGAGGTCCACCTCCAGGCACCCGTAAGTCTGACAAAGCCAGAGGAAGTAAGCGGCGTCAACCGTCCACTATGTGGAATGAAGCGCGACAGGCCGTCGCCAGAACGTTGGACAATCCCTGAATGTGAATGGCACGTAGAGCTAAACCCAGAGAACTAAGCAGAAGAGCTACTTGAAGCGACCAGCCCCAAAGAGTCATGGACCGAAGAAACCTCCTCCCTCCCAAGTTGAGACAAGGAACCATGGGGGACCAGTCCGAATGGAGCCCAAGCACCGAGCCCCAAGTAAACCGAATCCATTGCAGTGCCTGCCACACCATCGCAAACTCTTGCACTGTGCTGGGAGCCAGATGTAAGGACAGCCCACCACGTCTCTAATCAGACTGGTGAGCACTGGTCACAAAGCCCCAACCGAGAGGCTTGAACACATGAACACAGTGAACACAGTCCACGAACACATCGAGCCAGCAAAGAGGAAGGTGCCATGCCACTGAACCCCAAAAACCCGAAGAGGAAGCTGGACCCGAAGAGGAAGCTGAAGATGCAGAAAACAGATGCAAGGACACAGGGCAACGAACCCAGAGATCGCAAGCCCAGCAGATAAACCAGTGAGGCAAAGTTCAGGCTCCTGCACAGCTGCGCCAGCAACTGCCGAGTGACCCGGCAAAACAACCGAAGGTGGGACCGCAACAGAACAAAGGTGCTAGAGGGAAAGAAATGGACAGTCCGAGAACCTCACACTAGGCCGAACCAAGGCCAAACCCGAGATGGAACTAATTGGGACTTCTGCCAAGTAACCAGGAACCCAAACTCGGCAAGCTGGGAAAGAACCAGAACCCCAACTAGCAGACAAGCAGACGGCAGGGAGCCCACACCAACCAGTCGTCGAGACAGGCTGACAGCCAGGAAAACACTAGAACCTCATTACACACTTAATCAGTGCAAGATGAACTGAACACAAATAAAACTGGAATCTACAGAGGCATAAACTGGGTCTTGTAGGAGGTACGCACCAGGAACCTTCCAAACCTCTCCAGGGAAAAACCGAGAGGAAGAAAAACCTTTGAAAGGCAAATCAGCGAAACCCAAGGGCACCCAGAAACGAACTGGGGGGGGGGGGCTTACCTACCCCATTTGCCGGCAGATAAGATGAACAATGTGTATTAAAAAAATCGCTTTTGGATAAAAGTGTGCCCCACATCTAAACCAACCGTAATATAGACAGGATACTGAATGCTGGATGCAGGGAACTGGACGAGCAGACCGGGCAAGCTTGCTAGGCACAAAATTGGTGACAAGAATAAAATAAAGAAAACAAACCAATGACCACAGTCTGTAAACACAAGGCCAAGGCAATACAATACAGAGGTACCACAGTCTCAAACACAAGACGAGACTGCTCTGGGAACACGAGGTAACCACGGGTAGCGCTAACGAGCGGGAGTGCTAGTTGGATGAAGTGTTGCTTGTTTGTTTTCTTTCTGGGGGAGTTCTACTATGTTCAGATGTAGGTTGCAATTTTCACCAGATTGTGGTCTGTTTTGTTTCGCCTATCTTTCCGAGTCCTTCCCCGATCGATGGCAATTACGACATACTTTAAATGTAAAGCGCTTGTAGGCCACTGCTCCCTGCGCCTCTCTAAGGGAGGCGCAGGGAGCCTCCGTGGTCCCTGGTAGACATAATAACTCCTGTGACTGATGACCCCAAACTAATATAGCACATACCAGTTTCGATGGCTTCAAGAAGCCGACAGGGCTTCCCACAAAAAATACAGCATGAAAGCTTGCAGGATGTACAGTAAATAAGTGGTTTACACTACTGTACTCTAGATAAAAAGAAAGAGAGAATCAATGCAACGGTAATGTAAGTAAATATTTTAGGATGAACAAAAACAACAGGTGAATATTATAGTTATCAATGATATGTACATCTACCAGTATATACACACTAGTTAATTAATTATAAATATACAAAACAATCTATTACACAATAATTATTACATGCAACTTTAGAAAATATCCTAAAAGTAAATACAAAGCTAAGTTAAAAAACTATATTGTATTAATGGAGACACTAAGCACTATACTAAATACACTTACTCCCATAATGTTATCTATTACAAAACAAACGTTACAAAATTAAATTTAATGTCAAATGGTGGAATCGGAAACCTATGTTAGTGACACATTTTCTGTTAATAAAGAATGTTAAAACTAAAAATAAGGCAAAATTAATGTAAATTATAATGCACACAATGAAGTTCTAATTCTAACCAGAAATGTTAAATTCCATTATGAACCAAACAAAAAATTATCAAAAAATAAGTCAAATTTACACAAACCCGGAAGCTTAAGGGTTGGTATAGCATCTGGTATAGAATCAGGTATAGAATCTGGCATAGCATCAGGTGGGATGGCATAATCAGCATAATCAGCTGATTCTTGAGATAACCGACTGCTATCTGTGAAATAAGAACAAAAGCAAAACGTGTGTATAACAAAGCAACCCAAAACATAGCGATGAACAAATACCAAGCAAATGATAAGATAAGAAAATATAAAACATGTTGTGTGCAAATATGGGTCATCAAATGGATCAATTTGCGTGCAAATCTGGATCATCGAGGCAAATGGGGAGGGGGGCGTCGACAAGCCGCCAACTTCCTGTCCTCGTCGAGGCCACTAGTGTTAGTGGCTACCTGGTAAATCAGGTAAAGTATGGTAAGATGAGCAGTATGTAGTGTCCCCAAGTTTCATAAAATCGAGTCTTACCCAATGCTGTGAATGCATGCTATTTACACACAGTTTTTACATACAATTCAACAATTATCAATATGCACATATGGTGCACAAGGAAATTTAAAGCATTTACAAAAGCCATTCACTAAAATCCTTTCATTGTATACAAAATTCTGTAACATTCTGTAACAGTACAGTAAATGGTGGAAACAAAATACAAAATGAGAAAGAATGTATTTTTTCTTTTTTTTATGTGGGAATAGGAGATTCACTACACAATTTCTTAGATTATGTTTTAAATTAAAAAAAAAAAAAAATTTAAATTAATATTCAATTTGCAATTAAACCATTACCGATGCTGCAAGTCAGTATATATTTATATACAACACTGCCGGATTTATTTATTGTACACATTTTAACTTAAAGTTGTTCTTTCAAATATTTATCATATACAGACCAGAGTGTGTAACTCTTCTTCTAACTCTTTATGTGATGTCTACAACATATAAGTTGAGAATTCTGGTTTCAAAATATCTATACAGATAGTGATCTCTATAAGTTACTAAGAATTACAAACTGGAGGACTGGTGAAAATGAAGAGACAATTGTTCATTGATAACTTTCTCGAGTCGTGTCTTCCTGCAGACAGTATGAAGTTGCTTGGAAGTCATTCCAGCATTTTCTGGCTTTATGTCATTGGTCGTCTGTTTTGGTGGTGGTGCTTGTGGCTTTTTTGTCTTCGTTTCATGTGGTTTGTCGCTTCATGCCTAGCACATCATCTTACTGGTCGAGTTTGGTGAAGCGTTCATTGTTGGGATTTCATGTTGAATTCTCTTCCTCTCTCTCTCTTTCTCAAACTTGCTCATGCCTCCTCCTATCTTCACCTGAGTGGGCTCAACTGAAGCCTACTTACTCCCTGGATTAGGTCCTCTTTGATTTTATGTCTTTGCCCAGGTTCCTTTTGTCCACTTCTTTCAAGTATCTTTTATTGAAGGATCTATTCATAATGGTGCTTGCAATGGGTTATTTTGTTGCAAGCACCATGTCAAAGCATCAGCCAAGCTTTATGGTATTCAGTTCTGGCAATCACCTTGGTTCACCTTATTGCGCTACATCCCTTCCAAAAATATCATTTACATAGATAATGAATATTAATAGCACAAGTACCAAGCAGTGTTGGACTGCTAATGCCAATCCTCCATTTCAATACATTCCCTTCTATCCTTGCAAGCTAGTAGTCTCTGCCAATTACCCCTCCTGTATGTTTCAACCTTCAGAAAAGACTCTTGTATGAGATTATTGAATGCATTTTTTTTAGTAGAGTCACTTACAATTCATGTATCAAGTTTGGAGACTTGTTCAAATTTCAGTGCAAGAAGCAAGGCAAATAGTTCGGTCTGAAGGGTAGCGGTCCAGTTGTGTATACGGACTCCCCACTCGAAATATAAGCCATCGCCCATTGTCAGGACAACTGCATTTCCAGCTGTACCCGTGGGGCGGTTTAGGAAACATCAAACCATATACTGTACACTGATGGTTCTAATCATATACATACACAGTTCTACATCTGCTGATGTTGACCTGACCAAATGTAAACTGTATCAACAAAATTATTCGCACACTTGCCATCACTATGTGATGGAGTGCGAAAAAATGCGTGAATTCAGAGACAATTCTATAACAAATGTCCAAGAGATGTGCAAATATTTCATTCAAAATGATCTGCTACTAGAAATTTTATCCAAATATCCCCAGTTTGCTAACTGTAGGTAGTAACCGAGTGATTGTATCCACCGCTGCAAACGGAAGCTTTCAAAATACAATGCCAATCAGAAATATGACTATTGAGGATTATTTTTTAGCAGAATTTAGGGCGATTGCACATATTTGGAGTTTTAAATTATGACTTTTTATATAAAAAAAATGCAAATTAGTGGCTGAAGTACAATCAGGCATTTCACTGCCTCATTATTGAGAGGGCGACCATGAGTAGCACATGCTGCAGTAGCTCACAGCATTGCCGTACAGCTTGTGCCAACAGCATCCCTTTATTATGAAGAATTAAATAACTAAGATAATTTTACGATGATAGTGTCATAGAAGATTCTAACTATGATGAAGACTATGCACAAGGTTCAGCTATCAGTAAACATAATGCTAATTATGATGTTCGCAGCACAAGGCAGATATTCACAGCAAACAGCAGCTGTTTTGCTCATCTACACCTCAAGAAATGTGACCTCATGTTGCAGACGATGAGTCACAATAACGTGGTTGAAGACAAGATGACCAAACTACACCGAAGATGAAGAAACGACAACGTTTCGATCCGTCCTGAACCAATATCAAGTCATGTGATAGAAGAGAGAAAGGTACAGGCAAATATATAAGGAAAGATAGTAAGATGAGATGTGAGGAGCAGGTAAGAGAAGGTAAGAATAAGGTAAGGTAAATGTAAGAATAGGGTAAGAATAGGATGAATGTAAGAATAAGGTACGAATAGGATGAATATATGAATAAGGTAAGAATAGGATGAAGTCATCTTCCATGTATTCATGGCATTCAGGAATGGCAGATGGCAATGTGGAACACTGTGGGAGTGGTGTTGATTCGAGATGCCACATTAGGGGTGGTGTGATCCGTATATCGGACACGCTCACAACAGCATCCTCATCTACATCCATAACACTTGTACCCGATAGTTGTGTTAAATCTTGGGTCATAAACATCAATATCAGGAGCCTTGCGATACATTTTTTATACATTTCACCCACCGAGTGATATTTCAACCACGCGACCCATCAGTGACCGGGAGCTGGAAGCATGTTTGTCAACTATGGTGGCTCTCTTGAAACTGAGCAAACTTCCCACCTGTGGAACATGCTGGGAATGTTTTTCAATGTTGCAGACTCTCGCTCGAGACCTCGGGTATCCATTTGTTACCCAGGTTAGCAGGCATGAGTTGAATCTTGCAACATACCAATAAACAACTTCTCGGTCTGTGCACTACCCGTCAACCGACATATCTAGGTAAGAGCAGTGCAGGAATTAAGGCAATAATTATACATATTCTTTACCTTGATGTGGGCCTGATTAGTTAATACTCTGGTTCATCATAATATATGTCATGTTATTACCCTGCACTGGTATATGCAAGCTTCTAGACAAGCTCAAAATGAGTCAGATGCGGGTGCATCTTCTGTCATGCAGCTTGCATTTGTTGTCAATGTTTGTGGTGGTGTTCTCAATAATTTCTTGTCCGTTATCTACACAGTGCTTATGGTAACCTAATCACACCTTTGCCACCCACTATCTGCCAAATATTTTCCACCTGTATAACCAGTGTCACACCTGACCAGCTCTCCTCTAGGTGACTATCTTTTAAATATGTTACTAACAGTGTCTAATGATATTCTTACAGGAGGATATCTCTTATGTTATGATGTATTTAATAATGCATAGTGCAGCAAGTCTCAGGAAATAAAAAGAACCTGAAAAATAAAATAAATCCAGAAAAATAAATCACAAATTTTATGTCATATCTTGACTAAGATTTATGTTGCAACTTACCTCTTCTCATGCTCTTGGAGGGTGAGGAACCAGACAGCTTAGCAGGGGACAGTGAAGATGTCTTGCTCTTGGAAGGAGAGCTGGAGGAAGACTCTGCTGAAGATGACGGTGTGTGGGAGGAGAGACCCCGAGAGTCTGAACCTCCACAGTGATCCTCCCCATCAGAAGAGTCTGAGGAATCCCCAGTGAAGGGAACGGACCGGATTTGACTCGCACGCTGCAGGAAAGATCACATAATTAAAAACCTTGTTAATGTTCTCTGTCTTTGTCTTTACTCACTTTTAAAGCATTACTACCTTGAAAGTCACTCAACTTCCTATATGGCCTTCTTTGTTTCCTAAATTCTTCGTAATTACTAAATTTAGGTTTGGTAATTACGTTACACTCAAGATTAAAGCACTATAGTTGGTCCTCTTTATTTATTTCAAACAGTACAGTACTGTACAATAATATGTACAATCAATGCATATCAAAGACTGTCCCCTCTCAATCATTTTAAAAGAAAAACTAAGTATTACCTAATAAACTCAATGTAACCTACATCACCCCCTAAATGTCAACTGATGTCTTGCTATTTTCTAACAATATTGATTATTGACCAACTTCTATAACTGCTGATATCTGCCGTGTATAAACTTAAAAAAAATTGTTGTCTTCTGTTTATTTACTTAAGATTACTTCTGCTGTTCTATTTCAATTTCTGCTGTTCCATCCATCTGTAATTATCATCACTTTTTTCTTTTTTTTTCCCTTGTTCAATTCAATTTATGCTTTTGATATCAATTAGTTTTAAGTTTTAGTTTAAGTGTTTTTCCCACATCTTGGCCAAAACGCTGTGTGTATTAGTGGCATTAGGCATTAGTTACAAACATTCTGTTTGTAACTCATTTTCAGTGTTTGTACTTTTTTTTAACTGAAAATTACTAACTTAAAAATAACCGTATGTGGATAATGATCAAAGTTACACTAGTCTACACATGGATACGACTTACTACATATTATTTTAATCATATTTTCTGACCTGATAGATCTAAGAAAGACCAATAAACAAACAGAACAAATGAGGAACTTTTAAGGCCAACACATAAATTGTGCTTCAGTTACTGTATCGCATACAACATACAATGACAAAAATGTTTCCAAAACAGTGTGCATCCTCTAAAAAATTTATTATACGTCTCTTCACTCTAAACTCATTACACTACACTACTCACTCCTTTAAGCATCTCACACATTAGGTCTGTGCATAGTGTTCAAAAGCTAATACATTAACTACCTCAAGCCTATTAACAGAAGTCAGACCCATAAACTCCTGCACCAGGCATCATACTGAACCTATATTTATACTCTTAAAACATGCTAAACATATAAGCACTTCACACATTTTCCTGTGCACTCTACATATTCAAGTTCCTAAACTGCAGTATTAACCCTGATTCCAAACTCCTAGTTGATTGCTGGATTTACAAATATTACACAAGAAATAAGTACAGTAAAAAGGCATATTATTTTAGGCTCTCAAAATCCGACTCAGTCTCGGTAGTCAGCCCATAACCAAATAGTCCTTGGTTTGATTCCCAGGCAAGATCAATTTCTTGCTTGGGTAAATTTCCTGACAAACAATGTCTCTATTTGCCTAAAATTAAAGTGGTACCTGGGAGTTAAGTAACTGTTGCAGGTTGAATCCTGGGAAATACTGAGGCCCAATCTATGGAACAGACTACCATATATAATAAAATGCTGTACAATATTTAGCTAATTTAGAAGAGAAAGTAGCCCTTAAGAGGCCTGAATCAAAATTATTCTTATGGGTAACATTCAAAAACATCCAATTCTTACAAAATTTTATTTACAAAATCTAACCAATATGATGAACAACTAGTCCAAGTTTCAGCATTGTAACATGAAATGAAATGGAAAAACCACCATTGATTGTGATGAAACACCTCTCAGGAGGAGCCCCACTGGCTACCTGACACACTCTTCCTAAGATTGCTTCTTACTAAAAGTTCACATGAGTTGCAGAAGTTCAGATTAGCCTATTGGGAACAAGACCCCCCCCCCACCCCCCTCCTTACAGGAGGAACAGGGAGAGGATGACAATCTGCCACCCCCCCCACCAGAAAAAGCCTCCAGAAAGTCAGCGAAGCTTTACAGAACCTTAAAATTGTCAAACAACTCTGCAAACAATTTACACAGAACAAGGAATTCAGTCGAACTAGCTCAAAACTTGTTAGTATCAATTACCACCACCAGGTTACCTAGTCCCAGCCTTCACCCAGCTTCAGTGGTCAGTTCTGGAGCTAATTAATGACCCAACAGCAAACCGACAAACCTAGTGGGAGGAGAGAATTGTGGAGTCACCAGGGCTCCTCCAGAGATGGGCATTTCATTACACTCAACAATGGGTTTCTGAAGGGAGACCCCTGGTGGCATCCCTTCAGCTACCTAACCACAGGCAACAAAAAATAGGACTTATCAGGAAGGATGAGAGGTGGCAGGCACTATGACAAAAAAAAAAAGAGAAACAAGGCCAGAAGACATGGCCCAAAGCAACACATGACCAACTGGGACCAGGAACATTGACCAAATAACAGCTCACCAGAACCCTGTTAGATCACCAAAACCCAAGCCAGAATATCAGTCCAGGACATGTTGGAGATGACTGCGGTTAAAGCAACGTACTTGCAAACATCATAGGCCCGAGGGTAGACTGAAGGCAGGCAACATTTAAATATACTGCAGATGACCTGAGAAATGCAAGTTTTGGAACACGGGACCAAGGAAACAGGGTCAAACAACAAGGCGTCCATCCACTGAGACAGAAGTGGTGGCATGCAGATTGCAGTGAAGACCCACCACTAGACAACAAATGATGCACTCCTGGCTGAACCAAGCCTCACCCACCAAAGGACACCTCTAAAAACCCTCTGGCTCATTCTTTGCCAGAAAAGAAGAAGGCTGCAAATGAACAAACTGCTCACCAGGGCAACAGGAACAGAACCCCAGCCTCCGGAGAAGAGTCTGAAGCTCACCAACCCTTTGCCCATCCTCATAAACAAATGCATTCGTCAAACTCCTTATTTATGAATGCAAATTGGTTTACTCATGACTCGCAACTGATGATGTTCAAACACTTCCAGAATAAGTGCTTTGCTGGCGACTTTTGTTCGACCCACAACGCTGTAAATGCTTCACCCGTGTACTACAAATACAAATAATTGTCAATAGAACCTAAACAGGTAACCTAACCTAACCAATGCCTAAATATGCATAGTATGCTAATATAAAACAATATTAATTTATATTTGAGAAAATTCCTATTTTGCATGAGCAGCATTTTAAAACTGATGAATGCATCTTTGAGGTTGACTGCTGGATGGAATGGACTTGATCTGAGGATGGGTTGCCAACCCTATAGCTGGAGGCGAGAGCCAACAAGAAGGTAGCCTTAAGTGGTACATTCTTGCAAAGCCACTAACACGCATAGCATTTAGGCAGGTCTTAGAGCTAAACACAGATTTTGCTATCAATTTAAAATTAGAAAGTTTAACAGTTAATCTTGAATAAAAAATAAATGTAATGGCTATTTAATAAGAGAATTTGAATTATGTAACAAACTAGCCTAATTTCTCAAGTGTTGTTTCCCTGGAAATTTCTTCTGAAGGGGTGGTTAGTGATTATAAACAGCAGCCTTCCAAGTAACCTTGTCAAAACACGATTAACTTATCTAGTCTTTTTCTATAGTCATCTACTGACCTTTACACTTTCTTCTATGATGCTGGGTATCTACCTATTATTATGATAGCCTCATGTATTTCACTTTAGTGAAGGTAAGTCAAGGTAATTATTAGAAGGTGCTAAGCCAATATAACTAATATTTCAAAGGGGTATGAGGTCAGGATAGAAGGTGGGATAGTAAGACAGAGTGAAGGAACAGTGTTCAACTACTTGCACCATCAGGAATTGAATGCTCACCTGCAAAGAAGCGAGGCCATCACTCTACTGACCTGACCAAGTTTATATTACTCACAAACCTTCCACCAGTTAACCTCTTGCCGATGTTCATTCACATTATTTCTCGAAACCCACTCTTGTTATACTCCATCGTGCATCTCCAGCTAACCATCTCCGCCCTTTCTCACATTACACACATTATTGGGTCTCGGTAGTACAGTCAGATTCATTCTCGACTCACAATCGAGAATTCCGGATTCGAATCACGGGCAGGACAGAAATGGCTCGGCATATTTCCTATGACCTAATAGCCCTGTTCATCTAGCAGTAAGTAGATACAGTACTCAGGAGTTAGTCAGCTTGTTGCGTGGCTGCATCCTGGGTGGGGTCAGTAATTCGACCTTGAGGGGGGGGAGGACTTTGATATATGCCTATGTGTATGAATACTCTCTGGCTTCCTGTCCCCCAACACAATGAATTATTACTATTAACTATTTCACTTGTTATTTACTGGTCATACTTACTTGTGCCTCATACACTTCTCAGTTCTTTCAATAGCCAGAATTCTGTATTTAAGTTTTATCTCTTATTCTGTTATATTTATATCTAATTCTCATACAGTAGGCACTGGAGGAGAACACAGTATAGTACGGTACTGTCCCACATTCCTTTTCTTACATTAACACCACTACTTCCATGCTCCATAATCCTTCTTAAATATTCACTTTCCTCCTTTGCACTACACTACTCTTGATTTCTCTCTCCATTACTCCATGTTTGTGTCGGACGGGTTCAAATACAATTCTTTTATAACCTCTTCTCTTTCAATTGGTTAATTTCACTTTGTTTGTCGACAACCAAGTCCCTCCTCCTCTTCTCTATAATCAATCAACAATAATAGGTTTTGGATCTGATTAAATCATTTACTGTTTATGAATAGCGACATGTATCTCGCATTTTTTTTAGTATAATCCAACTTATAGCATTACAAAATTCAATCCAAATAAATTGAATCTAATTTGACAAAATTTGTATAACCAATGTCATTTCATCCACTAATTTAAATGTAAAGAGTACCTTATATCTCTCATAGTAAAATTAATAATTTTTACTGACTACATAATGAGTGCTTCTGGTCATTACAGCTAAACAAACACAGCCCTACAGCATTCTCAAAAATAATTTAGCAAATAATTAAATATCTCTAACACATCCAGCCTAACTTTGCTAAAACTGCAACAACACACAACACACTATGACTGGCAACATTACCAATACCTCTACTCTTCCTTCACTAATAAACACCCATGCAATCAGAAACCAGATCAAATCACTCAAAACCTAACCTTGTTTGACCATCCAATCTGAAGGCCAAGAAATAATAAAGATGTTTTAATAAATGGTTTATTTTTTCTGCTTGTATAAACTGACAAAACCATAACTCATAAAGCTTTTCAACTATAAAACTGAAATAAATATTAGTTATTTTCAGCAGATATGCTGTACAGTACAGTATGTTGATTTTTTCTGCAGTGGACAAATTTAGGCACCGACAATCTAAATAAATTATGTTTGAAAATATAAACAAAAAATTGCATTTAAAAAGCCTTTAACTCAACCAAAAAGATATTATAATCTAATGCACCAGTCCACTTACACGTGTAACTACAGTAATAGTTAATCTATTTTTCTGAGCTTGCAATGGGCATGTAAGTCATTTGATAAATAAAACCAAATCTATCCAAACCAGCATAATTTCTTTCCAAATAATGAACTGCTCCCTACACCAATAATTAGGAGTGCAATATTGTAATGTACCCGTAATTTTAACAATTCATAACTTATAACTTGTAAATCAGGTACACCTTAACCGCACTTTCTTATAAAACATTTTTATACTGGTAACCTTATTAGATACACTTACACCAAACCTTGTATAAATCAATTTTGTTGCATCCAAACACTATGTAGAGCAAATAAAATTCTAAGATAAAGTATACTGTATAACTTGAGTTTGTTCTTGACTCGCAATCTGGAACCTCGAGTGGGAGAGAAATGGTTGGGGCACATTTCCCATCACCTAATGCCACTGTTCACCTAGTAGTAAATAGGTACCAGTTAGTTAGCCCGTTGTGGGGTTGCATCCTGGGGAAGGTCAGTAGTTCGACTTTGGAGGGACCTTGATATAAGCCTTATGTGTACACACAAAGGCTGCCTGTCCCTAACAAAATGAATTAATATCAGATACTGTATACAGTTGGTAAAATAAATGGAAAAATTAGTTTCAATACTTTAAATAGAAGTAATCAAGACTTTTCATGTTAAAATTTCCAGAAATTCGTAACTTAAAGAGCACTATACAGCCAGTTTATGAATTACATAGAGTGCAACAATGATACACTGTACAATGATGTGTTTATCACTAATTCAATTAAGCACTATTAGGTGTTGCCATTAACTGCATGGTGACTGTATAGACAGCTGTTTTACACCTAGTGCATCTTGTAATTTTTTATCAAAATTTTTTTAGAAATAAACCACCTCTGCTTTTAAAGCTCATCGCACAATATGACAGCACAGTTTTTACCTGTTGGCCACTTTCAAATCAGCAAACAACAAAATGTCAACAATTCCCAATATGGCTACTAGATGTACTCACGCCTTTGACTGCAGCATAGACAGGAACGTGTATCTCTGGGTAACTGCCGAGACCAGAGCTCCTCATCCTGGCCGCAACTTCCCCGCTGGTGTTGACAACCCCAGACCCAGACAGTCCCTCCTGTGCTACCTGCAAGATGCAACTTCTATCATACATACTCATAACAGGAAGTTAAGTGCATAAACATGAGTGCCAAAAACTTTGACACAAAATTATTTAAAGAAAATAAATTAATGGAAAACGTAAATAATGAATGAGCACAATGGGAACAGCACAATATTTCCTGCCCTGTGAGGAAAGGGCAGAGAAATATAAAAATTAAACAATTGGCAGAGAAGTAGACAAAATATAAAAAATATAAACAAATGGATAAGTAAAACAAAATGACATTACTGAAAACAAAATAACCTAAATATAAATGGACAAAATTATTAACACTACCAAAGAAAACCTTTAATGCCTATGAAACCCGGAGGCATTACAGAACGTGAAGTACAGTCCAGTTAAAAAATATAGGAAATATAGGTGCAATGGACATGCTAAGAGACAATTATATAAATAATAAGAGCTGAAGACTTTTCACCACCCTCCCTCTAAACATAAGGGTCATAACTGGCTGGTTTCTCTTGTTCAAATGACAACTTGATAAACACCTCTATATGATAGTTGATCAACCAGGTTGCAATTCATACATCAGATTACAAGAAGCAGCATCTAATAGCTTGGTTAATCAGACCACAAACCAGAAGGTGTAGTCAGAGATAGGGCCATGGGGACATTGATCCATGGAATCACTTCAAGGATAACCAAGATAATGTACAACATTAGATAAATATAAATCCCAAAAATTCTGGAACTCTTCAAATATACAGTACTATAACAACATGCAAAATATATTAGAAATTCAAACTTGTCCTTTTTTTCTGTTACTGTGCACATTTTTTACAAAAGCAAGAAAAATATTTTTGTCATCAAATACAGTTGTCTGCAGTTTTGTATTTTTATATATTTTATTCTTTTATAAAGGATGTTTGCAGGTAGAAGGAAAATGTTTAAGTATTGAGCCTGACAAATAATGCATTATGGAAAAATCGGGTGTATTTGAGACCTTGCTCTTGTTTACAAACTTACTATCCTGGACCCGGATTCACGAAGGAGTACTTACGAACGTCTACATCTTTCCTCAATCTTTGACGGCATTGATTACATTTATTAAATAGTTTACAAGCATGAAAACTTGCCAATCAACTCTTGTTATTGTTATAAACAGCCTCCTGGTGCTTTAGAGCTGATTAACTGTTTAATAATTGTAAACAAAGCCACCAAAGTTCGAGAAAAGATGTACAGGTTTGTAAGTGTATGCCTAACTACTTGTGAATCTGGGCCCTGGATAGGCTGGTCACCCATAGTCCTGTACCTCCCAAAACATTTAAAATGTCATAGTGCTTAAAATACCTCTGAAGGTGCACCTGAAATTGTTCTCAAGAGTACTGTACTGTATCCAATACTTTTTCTTGTTTTTTAAACAAGAATGTGTTTAAAAAAATAAGAATTCCTTTTGGTAATCTTACACAGGAAACAACAACAAAGCATCCACTGAGGCAGGACCAGTAGCACACAACACAGAGGTGAAGGGCTGCCACTAGACAACAAATGATGCATCCCCCAGAAGGACCAACCAATCATTTATCAGCAAGGAAACCCCTCTGGAAACCTGCCAATTACTTTTTTGTGTGAAATGAAGAACAAGGCACCAAACAAACTGTTCATCAGGGGTCAAAGGAAAGAAACCCTCCAGCTCTGTAATGAATAAACCAAAGTAAGGAGAGGAAACCAAAACCCGGTCAAAAGACCAGAACAGTTCAGGAGCAGCTGAGCAGGCCGGAGGTGAAAAAAACCCAGCGCTGAATGTAATGAAACGCCAGTTTCTGGGCGAGCTCTGGAAGCTCCCTGAAGCTATCACACTGAATAAGTGCCATACTACTAGGTGTCATCAGTCATGGAGTTCTATTGGCCTACCGGGGACCACGAGCCAGAACCTGGCCTCCCTCAGAGAGGCACAACGAGCAATGGCCTACGAAAGCTTTACATTTAAAGTTTATAATCTTTGTCACCATCTGATGGAAGGCACCCAGAAAGATAGGCGAATCAAAACAGACTACTGCATGGTTAAAACTAAAATATACTGTAGCCTCAAAATTGCCAAAAGAACTCCCCCAAAATGAAAACAAAATTTTGTGAAACTAGCATCCTGCTAGTATGGCCCCACCCCAAGGGTGGGGAGGAGGGAGCTGGCTTGGGTCAGCCTCCGTGCACAGTTTAGTTCTATAATGATAAAAGTTCTCCCGTAGCCTCGGGACTGGCTGGTCAGGATGTGCCCCTCGTCCGGTTTAACACAGGCCTAGTCCTAACATTGAGCCTTTAGCGTGCCCAATCGTTCAGGTGCAGCGGTACTAAGTGTTCGACACCTTTACTACCAACTGCAGTAGGTTGTGGATAGCTGGATTGTATAGAACTTCATGCAGACATTATTTGTGAGGCGGTATCTGGAGTCTACCCAGAGGTACAGTGGGACGGCACTGGGCCGCCTTGTGGTGTACCTGGCCCCACGCTCCCCTCGTGTGTAAAACAGTCCTTGGGCCCTCCTTCCCAGGGTCGTGGTTTGTGTGCGCGACTGGTGGTGTGTTTACATGAGGTGGGTGACAGTGTCCTAGCCTGGGCGAGTGGTGGAGCCCCGGGCAGCTACCCTGTGCTGCGCCTCCTGGCCCGTTGTTATGGCAACCGGGCTCAGTACCACCCTATCTTCTGTTGTGCTTGCTAATCCAAGTGATCTCCAAGCAATGGATCCTGAGCCCGCCGCCGAGGAATATGTTGATGCTCGAAGTGGGTTCCAGTCACCCGATGACATGGAACCCGATGCTGATCTGGATAACGGAAATGAGTGGCAGTTGCAACAATCACGGAATGCGAGAAGAAAGTCTAAACTTGCAGACTCTGCTGATGGCGATGAGGACATTGGCAATGATGACAGAAACACCGGAACCCGTGTGAAGACGGTGGAGGTGGGCGGTGGTGGGCCCACCCAGCCAGGGGCCCGCCCACCCAAGCCTCCTATTGCTCCCCGCGCTGACTATGTGCGCCTGGCATTCCCAGCTGGAACATCCACCAACGATAAACTTAAATGGTTCGAACAACTTTCTACTAAGTTCTCCAACACATTCCTCGATATAGTCCGACCTAGACCAACATCCCCTTACATCTTTGTGTCACGTAAGCAGGAAGATATCATCACTCAACTGGTTAAAGGTGAGATTGCTAATATTGTTTTCACCAGAGAAGACATCATCAATCGACCTAAAAAATTTAAGGAATATATTGTTACCAGTTTTCCCAAAGAGTATCCTCTTGATAGAGCTTATACCCTTAACGGGGTCTACAAGGCAAGACGGATATATAAGGATGGTCATCCTCTCAACAGGATCATCATTGTTTGGAATGGCAGTGACCCTCCCCCTGAACATTACACCTTTTTTGGACACTTCATCCCATCAAGTCCTATAAAACCTTGGGTATCCCCCCCTGTTGTTTGTTATAAGTGCCATGGTACTCATCATATCTCTAGGTACTGTCAACATGACCCTGTGTGTGGGCTCTGTGCTGAACAGCACCAAACAAGGGAGTGTCCTCACAGGGACCCCCCTACCCTTGAGGATGGGGAGGAAGCCTCTCCTCTGGTCCGGAAGTGTCCCAGGTGTTTGCGTCAAGGTGTAGATGTTTGGCATCCTGGCTGCCCTCGACGCCCCGCCCTCTCTACCATGAGCAGGACGCCGGAGGCGTCTGGTCCAGCTGCAGGAGGCACCCAGCTGGAAGCTCCTAATGTCACCTCTAGTAAGCAGTTTCCAACCCTCGATGGGCTAAGGCAAACAAGCAAAGATACAGAAGAAATTAACTGGTTAAAAAGTAAAATTATGGAATTGGAAGCTAAAATACAAACATTAGTGATGAATCTGCCCGGTGATAGTGAAGTGAATCATGCTAGCGATAGTGATCAAGTAAATTCTCCCAGCACCAGTAGTGATGCGAGTGGTAATGCTGCAGCTGCTGAGGCTACTTCACCTGTCTCTACGGAACGTGAGTGTCAAATCCCCGTGGGGAATGGTGTTAGAGTAGTCATTGATCCCTCACTGGCACCCCAACTAGATCGTCAAGACACCCTTGATTTGCTTAAAAATAAAGACTTTAAGAGAACACCAACTCCTACTCAGGTTAACCGCCTCCTAAACAAAAGTACTCAGGACACACGGAACAAAATTACTTATGTTCTCCAAGTGTTTTACGAACTTAAACGTTACCTTAATTCCCTTGACACTTAACCATGGCTCATCAAACAAAAACAATTAAGTTTCTTTCTTGGAATATTCGAAGTGTTTATCTTCGGATAAATGACGTAATCTTGTATGCTAAAATGAGAGACGTAGATGTGATCTGTTTACAGGAACCATATACGTCCACAACTATCAAGAAGGTCCCACCCAGGATACCTGGGTATATAGCATACAACAACAGTATTGGAACTGGTTTACTAACGTATATTAAGAGTGGATTAATCTGTAAACTAATTAAAAATCATAGGAGTGATAGTATACATTATCAAAAATTCAAATTGCAAACTGCAAATAGCCATTTCCTACTGTATAACATATATGGACGATGTAATGTACTTAAAGCAGACCTGCTACCGAAACCTACAGGTAACACAGCTATGTTATGTATGGGTGACTTTAATGCTCGTCACACTGCTCTTGGTGACGTTCAGTGTAACAATAATGGAAGGGTCTTCTTGAAATACCTTAATGATCATAATATTACTGTGTATGATACTGATAAACAGACCCATTTATTGGGGGGTAGACTGGATTATGTGATTGGATACAGCCTAGTAGATAGCAACGTCAACGTTAAGCTCATCCCAGAACTAGTAAGTGATCATTTTGCAATATATTGTGAATACAATGTGGCGGATATTAAGTCCAATCCTCATCCTAGAGTTAAAATTAACATTCCAGACAATCTTAAACAGCACTTTAAGGCTTATGTACATAAGTGGTACACTGGGTATACACCTGTAT